AGTCTTTTTACTATATATGATACGTCCTAATTCTCTCTCTGATATATGTTTTATAGTGCTGCGAAAACATCAACGCATTTCTCTTTCAAACAGCTGATTTATTCAAGTTTCTCACCAGAAGATACATTTTACAAGATTACACTGAACACATCATGGGAACGTTATCATTTACTGTTGCCCAGTATTCATTTTACTAAATACAGCTTGAACGCTTCACAATGTAAATCACTTCAACCTCTGTGAGCTGCTGGTTGTGTCCACTGCCTGCTGAGAGAAAACAATAACTAGCTGCTAACAGCTAACAGCTAACTTAACAAGCTCTCCTCCTGCTGATTTCATGTTCTTTCTCTCCACATCCACTCCTCTCAGTAGTGTCGTGGTAGTTGAGTCGTTTTGACATGATAACAGAGTAGTGGTCCAGAGTTCAGGTGACATCAGATAACTCCGCCCAACTCCCCCAGAGAGCAGGTAAAGAGTAACAAGCTGGGTAGGGGGGCCGGGGACCGACAGGAACCCACAAATAAAGGCCTCTCTGTTATTTAGTAGACTTTGCTGTGTAGTTATGTTGTTGTGGCCTTATGTCATATTTCAAAATAATAGTAGTAGGCCTAATATTTCTAGTAAAAAATAGCAAAAGATAAACAATAAGATTTTTTTCTTCCCCATCTGTGGCGCCCCCTGTGGATGATGGCGCCCTCAGTGTTCACCTGTACTGCTTATGCCACAGCAGCACTGTAAACTTTGTACACTACTGGGTAAATTAGTACTTCATCATATCGTATTGCCACATCTTATTTTGAAAAGCTCTTAACAAATAAAGTGTGCATGACAACACTTCTTATCTATATACAATTATCAGACAATATAAAGTTCTGAATTTGGCACAGAGACATTTAAGAAATGTGCAAATGCTTCTTATTTCTGAGCACATTTGTTTTTGATGATTCAACAGTCTTGAAGGCAGGTAATGAAGTCATTAGAATAAATCAGACTATACATGAGATGAAGTGGGAGGGACGAACAGTAGCTGTTGTAAAGATGACACTTCCTGTCTTCTTTTGTTTCCATGAGAAGTAGCCCAACTCCTGTAAGGGACTATAACTTTGACAAATAAAGAGTGTATTAAACAAAGACTATCCATGAGATAATATCAGCAGTGTGATTAAATCTTTGTGTTGTAGTAGTAAGTAGCAACATGACACATCAAATAAAAACATTTACCAAAAAAAGGGGAAAAACCACATTGATCAGAATCTAAAAAATCAACAATGTATTCACAGTACATCACCAATAATATACATTTATTACATTAAATGAGAGTGAATCATTCTGTAGAAAATCAGATGGTTGTTCTACTTTGTGTGACTGACGCTATTAGTTTTAGTTAAAATAAAATATGCCTCTGGTCAAACTGCTCCTAATCGACAGGAGAGATGATCAGAGGGGCAGAGATTTTAGCCAACATCATTAAAGGGATAGTGCACCCAAAAATTAATGTTCACCCATTATCTACTCACCCATATGTCGAGGGAGGCTCAGGTAAAGTTTTAGAGTCCTCACGACACTTACAGAGTTCAGAGGGAGGAGTGGGTAGCAGCACAACTGAACACCTAATGGAGGCTGACGGTGCCGCAGATTCAAACGTCCAAAAACACATAATTGAAACCACAAAATATCTCCATACTTTTCGTCTGTAGTTATCCAAGTGTCCTGAAGCCCGAACATAAAAAGTTGTTTGGAGAAACGTCATTTGAACTCTGTTTTTAGCCTCATTGTAGCCTGTACCTCTAACTGTCAGACCATGAGACGTGGGCATCGCCTTCATGTGTGTTCATGTGCTTTTGCTGGTCTCTTGCGCAAGCGTGCACACGTAAGCACGGTCCACAGAGAGACAGTTAGAGCTGCAGGCTACAAGGCTAAAAACAGACAAAGGAAAAGAAGCGGAAACTTTGAGTTGCCTCTTTGGGTGTAACTGTCGAAAGCCAATGTGTGAGTGAGTCTATGTGAATGTGATCTGTGTTGCAAAGGGTCTTCGTTAGTACAGAGGATGTTTAGTTGCATGCAAGACTCTGTCTGTGAAAAGCATTAGCACTAACACCACTTAGCTTTGGCCAAGCCAACTAACCAATAACCTAACTGCAGTAATCACAACAATAACTTAATATCAGCATAAAATCACAATTGACAAGTTAAACAGTCTTGCTTAGCCTGTACAACTGTGATAAAGCTATGCCCAGTTGTTACATTACCAATCCTTGAATGGATGAATGGAAGAGTTGCTTTGTGGCGTGCTGCTTTTAATAACCAGCAGAAGAAAGCTGGAAAGAGCTGTAGTTTAAAAAGCAGTCTTTGACGAGCCGGTTGCTCGGGGTCCTTGCACAGTTAAACATTGGGATGCTTACTTAAATTGGTTCTCTTGTTACTGGAAAGTTAGTTGCAAACCTTGTGTTTGGCACACTAAGTTCTCTGGTCTCCAGGTTGTGCTCCTGCTGTGGGCATGCAGGTTGTGGTCCAGAAGAAAGAGAGCAAGAGTCTGAGAGCAAGTGCCCCTTCAATGGTTCAGGGGCAAGAGCACATCTGAGCCGGTCAGCAGCTCAGGAGGAAGAAGCTGGGGGGAAGAGTTGTAGAACTTATCCTACAGTTTGCATGGTGACATCACAAAGTCACATGTCACTGTGAAACTACTGTCCAAACAACTTTGGAGGCTGGTCTCTCACTTCGGTGTGAGAATGAGAGAGATGGTAGAGATGGCTGTCTTTGTTTGAGGAACAAAGAGCATGCAGAAAAGAAAAGCCTTCACATGTCCAGTTTAAATTTTAATAAATGACAAATCATCTGTGGTCCAGTTAATCCCAAAACAGGTAATGAAATCATTAGAATAAATCAGACTATACATGAGATGGGGTGGGAGGGACGAACAGTAACTGTTGTAAAGATGACACTTCCTGTCTTCTTTTGTTTCCATGAGAAGTAGCCCAACTCCTGTAAGGGACTATAACTTTAACAAGAAGAGCATTTATTTATTTTTTTCCCTGAGGGGAAATTCAATTTTGTCATTCTTTTTTTAACACACAGGTCTGAAAGGCACACACATGCACAAAGTGGAGAGATATCAGAGTGAGGGGGCTGCCTTGGTCTTAGGGTTCGGTGCCTTGCTCAAGGGCACCTCGGCAGTGCCCAGGAGGTGAACTGGCACCTCTCCAGCCACCAGTCCACACTCTATATTTGGTCCGGACGGGGACTTGAACAGGCGACCCTCCGGTTCCCAACCCAAGTCCCTATGGACTGAGCCCCCAACAAAGACTATCCATGAGATAATATCAGCAGTGTGATTAAATCTTTGTGTTGTAGTAGTAAGTAGCAACGTGACACAATAACAGAAAAAAGGGAAAAACCATATTGATCAGAATCTAAACAATAAACAATGTATAGTACACCACCAATAATTAGGGTTGGGACTCATTAGGATTTTAACGATTCCTACATTCTATTCATTATACTTGCTATACTTAAACAAGTTTATAATAAACACAAATGCAATCATACAAATACAAAAACTGTATTCTAACTGTTAGATGAAAATACACATTTGTGTGTGGTGTGTATTTCAGATTTAGAGCTTGTATCATCTCCCTGAGAATATATAAAAACAAAAAGTGATTCTCTGATTTCTACAGTAACACTATTACCTCAAATTAACCACAGCAATGTAGCCTAATAAAAAATACTTTATGCATTCATGCTTGGGCACTGTTATTTACGTGACAACACCTGAACACAACACACACACACATTGGCAGTGTTGCCAAGACCGCTTATTATAAGCCACTTTGGGCTTGTTTTTCTGTAAAGTCCTTACAAATATTGGTAGTTGCGGGTCGTGTTTTTTTTGGGCTTGTTTCTTAAGCGTAGTTGCTTATTTGGGCTTGTTCCCAGCTCCATAATAAGTTGTCAAGCAGATATTTTTGATATGTTATTTAAACGTAGGATAGTTTGTCTTGCCTGTTCCCTCTGTCCCTCCCCTTTCCCCATACACACAGGAGACAGCAGAGTTTTTTCCCACCCGCATCCTGCTTTTAATTGGCTCTGACCCTGATGGCAACGAGTACTAGCCAATCAGAGGCAGAGCAGAGTAATGTGTTTTCTGGTTAGGAAAACGTCAGTCCTGTAACTAAAAGAAAAAAGTTAGATGAGTGCATAAAAAGCAATAATAAATAAAGAATTTGTGAATTCAGGATGATATTTATTTGTGTGTGCAAATTTTAATTATCAGAGGTTTACTGTGTATATAATGTACTTGATGCATCAGTCTATATTTGATATCCCATCTGTTTTCTAATGTTAAATAATGTTAAAAGGTGGTTTAACTCCCTCTTGTAGTCATTGTCCTGAAGCTCAGGGGGGAGATAAATAAATAAACTGTGTACCGTGGGTACAGTTTTGCAAAACTGCGCACAGTTTACTTATCTGTCCACATGGATGTAAATTGACAATCTGTACCCACAGTTTAAAATCTGTCCCGACGGATTGTAAAACCGTGCACACAGTTTATTTAATTTTCTCTCACCGGAACCTAGGGGGGCTCCGTAGAAAAAGTTGCTTGTTTTGGGCTTGTTTTCACAGGTCTGGTTGCTTATTTGTCTCGCGAGATCTGGCAACACTGCACATTGGCTGTTTGTTTCTACCTCTCCCCTCCTGGAAGTCTCGGACCTTCCGCCGCCCGCCTCCGCCTTGATTAAACGCTGACAATAAAATAAAAGAGGGAGACAAGTTTTCCTATTTTATCTTATTTTGTTATATTTCTCCCTCTCCTCTCGCTAGAAGCATCGGACCTCCCGCCGCCCGCGGAGGTCTTCCTTTCCGCGGATCACCCAGGGTGCACGCCCAGCCTGTTAAATAGCCTGGCTGTAACCATAACAACTGTGTGACACAAACTCAGTGCTTAGTAATTAAAAAATGTTGGGCTCGGTCGGGTTCGGACAGAAATATGTGGCCCGTGCCGCACTCTAATGGAAATGCACATGACCTTTTTTTTTTTTACAATCTAGGAACCGTTACTCCAAATGTGATAGAACCGGTTCCGGAATCGGCACTTTGGACCCGGTTCCAAAAAAGAACCGGATCCGGATCCCAACCCTACCAATAATATACATTTATTACATTAAATGAGAGTGAATCTTTCTGTAGACAATCAGATGGTTGTTCTACTTTGTGTGACTGACGCTATTAGTTTTAGTTAAAATACAATTCCTCTGAGCAAACTGCTCCTACGTGCTTGATTGACAGGAGAGATGATCAGAGGGGCAGAGTTTTTACCACCATAGTTAAGACTGGGACTGAAGTATGGGTAGAGTTTCTCAGTGAAGGAGCAGCCAGTAAAGGAGTAGATAAGAGCTGCAGCATCAACATCATAAAAGGAGACCAGACCCTCCTCATAATCCACAAACACCCCCACCTTCTCAGGCTGAGACTTCAGAGAGAGATTGACTGGAGGGCCAGCAAAAGCTTTGTACTCATTTTCATTCCTCAAACATATCGTCCAGTAACCATTCTGAGGAGTCGCTCTGATCTTTCCCTTCCTGTTGATCAACTCTCTGACCACTCCTAAATCCCAGTCAGTCTTCCCTTTAACCTGAACCTCATAATAAAATCTTCCTGAAGAGAAACTCTGCTTTGCTAAGACACAGACAAAAAAATCAAATCTCTCTGGATTGTTTGGGAGATTCTTCTTTACATCACCATGTTTAACTTGTTTTCCATCATCAGACAGGATGAGAAAAGGATATGCTGTATCAGGATCAAGAGTCACATCCACTGCAAACTGCTGGACCCTCTTCAGCTCGACCTCAAACAGCTTCTTCATCTGTTTACTGAGCGTCTCCTCCAGCTGACTCACAGCTCTCCTCACAGTCCCCTCATATGAAGGTGGACAGAAACAGACCTCTGTCCAGTCCTTGGTGGGAGGAGCAGTGATCAGGGACATGAAGCTTTGGAGGAGGTGGAGGTGGTCTTCAGAGCGTGAGAGCTGCTCCACCTCAGTGCTACTCTTCTTCAGCTCAGAGATTTCCTGTTCCAGCTCTTTGATGAAGCCTTCAGCCTGTTTCTCTGTCTTTCTCTGCTTCTCTTTGATCGTGTCCATGAGCTTGGCCTGGCTTCTCTCAACAGACTCCTTCAGAGCGGTGAAGACCTGAACACCATCTGCTATCTCTCTGTCTGCATCTTCCTCACTGAGCTCCACTGAGTGTTTGATCTCCTCAATCTTCAGTCGTCTCTTCTGGATCATCTGCTGAATTTCAGTCTCTGTCTTCCCCAGCTCGGCCTTCTTTCCTTCATATTCTTCTCTCAGAGGAACAACATCATGTGTCTTGTGGTCTAAAACAGTGCAGAGCATGCAGACACACATCTGGTCGGTCTTACAGAACAGCTCCAGCAGTTTATCGTGCTTCAGACACATCCTGCCTTCCAGGTTCTCCACAGGGTCGATCAGCTGATGTCTTTTCAGGCCTGATCTTGTCAGATGAGGCTCCAGGTGAGTCTCACAGTAGGATTCCAGACACACCAGGCAGGACTTCAGGGCCTTCAGTTTGGTTCCAGTGCAGACGTCACAGGGAACTTCTCCTGGTTTGGAAACTTGTTGCTCTGAGCTGCTGCTGCTGGCTTTCTGTTGAGCTGACTGTCTGAACTGAGCAGCCATCTCAGAGATGAAAGTGTTGACCTGCAGCTCAGGTCTGGTGTAGAAAACCTTCTTACAGTTTGGACACTGATAGGGGACATTAATATTCCAGTGTTCAGTGATGCAGGTTTTACAGAAGTTGTGTCCACATGGTGTGGTGACTGGATCAGTGAACACATCCAGACAGATGGAGCACAGAAACTGATCTTCAGTCAGCAGACAGCTGGCAGCAGACATATTGACACTCTGAGGACACAAAGTGAGAAACATCAAAACTGTGATTACATGTTGTTTTTTATTTGTTTACTATAATCAAACTATGATCAATGTAATATAAGCATCCTGAATTCTGTTGTTATAAGAATGTGCTGTGAGTGAAGGAGAGCTCAGATGTGCACTTCAGCAGTGGTATTTCTATGAGATCATCAAGCTCAGAGAATAAATGATAACGTGGAGATCTTCATTCTAAAACATTTACTCTGACTGCCTGCAGAAAAAATACTATTTCTCAAAATACTACTCAAACTAAAGTTGCCTCGTGGTTGTCTGCCTCAGCACAGCAGTCAAGTTTCTCTTACAGTTTACATCCACATCTGTAAAACATAGATGCTTCACACATCTTCCCTCCGGCAGCACAGAAGATCTATACAATCAGCAAAGTTTCAAGATTAGAGTCACCAATTCAGTATCTGACCAAATGTCTCTCCTCCTGTTCCTGAGATATGACCTTTAATAATGTCCAGAAAACTGCAGAACATTATGATGTCACAGTGAAGTTGACCTTTGACCTTTTAGATATAAAACATTATTTTATCCTTTTAGACATTTGTGTGAAATTCTGTCATAATTTACATATGAATTCTTGGGTTATGGCCAAAAACACATTTTGTGAGGTCACAGTGACCTTTGACCACCAAATTCATTCAGTTCATTGTTGACTCCAAGTGGACGTTTGTGCCAAATTTGAAGAACTTCCCACAAGGCATTTTTGAGATGTCACGTTGACCAGAATGGGTGGGACGGACGACTTACAGACGACACAGAACATAACGCCTCCGTCCACGGCTGTCACCAGCACAGAGGCATCAAAATGACATTATAATCTTCAACCTGAATCTAATTATTAAGACATTAGTAAACATTAACCTGCACACATTCATCAGAAACACAGAGGAGATATAATAAGACACAAAAACATGAGAGAGAGATGGAAAGTAACTAAGTACATTCATTACAGTACTGTACTAAGGTACTATTTTGAGATACTTTAGTTGAGTATTTCCATGTTTTTGCTACTTTATACTTCTACTTTGGTAAAAACATCTCAGAGAGACACATTCTACTTATTCCTCCACTACATTAATTTAATATCATTAATGACTTTACAGATTCAGATTAAGAATAAAAATTATAATCAACAAATAAATCCTGATGTATTATTATCAGTTAAGATATTATTGACCCCGGGGGGAATTTACAAACCACCCAGCAGTGTATAAAGTCATTAAAATTAGCTCCACTGTTAACAGCTTCATCATTAAAGTGATGAACACATTAATGCATCAATAATTATAATCCTGTAATATAGTATATTTATCTGAAACTGGACGTTCTGGGTAATGAGTCATTTTACTTTTGGTACTTTTAGTTTGATGCTAATACTTGTGTATTTTTATTGAAAATCAAATAGTGACTGCAGGACTTTTACTGTAACAAAGTATTTCTACACTGTGGTATTACTACTTTTACTTCAGTAACAGATGTGAGTACTTCTTCCACCGCTGGTTCATATTGATGTAAACTCACACTTAAACATTGTTGCAGCCTGAAGTGATTTTAATCCATGGTCACGTTCATGCTCTATATGTGTTCATGTATATGGGCTAAAATCTACAGAAAAAACTCCTCACAATCCTGAAAATATTAGACAGCCTAATATGTAAGTATGAGCACACTGAATGTCAACATTTATTAAACTAATATAGCTGAAACAGTAAAAAGCCGTTTCTGAAAGGCTGAATGCATCAGATATGGACTTGAAGCAGAACATTTCATTAGATAAAAACATGTTGTGGATTTTAGAAATTATTACATTGTTTTTTGTTTTGTTTTGTTTTTCAATTAATTTTGACTTTTGGACTTCACAATGCTCTTGAGTGACTGGAAATGTTTGGAATCCTCTGGAGTCCTCCGTTAGCTGTGCCGGTGACACGGCGCTACCATCTTAATAATACATATGAAGTTTGAGGATGTGGGAGCTAAATCTGTTTGTGGAAAAATTATTTTTATATTAGTCGTAACAAGACTGAGCTAGCTGTGCAGTTTGGTGTTTATATATGAGGTATTATTTAGTTTGAGAAACCTGACCATCTCTAGAAGCTCTTGTTGGCTGGCGGACTCAACAGGGACTAGAAAACGAGTCTGTAGGTCGTTACTAAGGTTCCACCTACTTGCTGGAGTAGTAAACTAGGTTTCATTACATTCTTTTCCAGTTATTAGTCAGACCCAGTGTATCTCCATGGAAACGGACACAACTGTGGCAAACAGTTTTTCATTTTGAGAGCTAACTGCCCCTCAACATGAAAACATTTTGATTATATATTTTATTTTGTTGGTAATAGTTGTAAAATCACAATATGACTCTCAAGGCTGGGCTTTAACGTCTCAAATAACGTTAAAGCCCAGCCTCTGGTGTAATATTGCATATAAGACACAGTTTCAGTTTTGTGAAACTTTAATTATTTTTGTAAAAATGCATAAAAGGAGATTTCACTGTGTTTTTCACACATGGACCACATTGGACCTGGTCCAGATCAAACACCAGAGATTCACTGCAGTTCATTTTGCATCTTCACAAATAAAGTCAAGGGTTCACAAATCTGAAACTGTGTTTTAAATAATATTCAGCCTCTCTGGGAAAATCTACTCCAGATTTGACCTGTCTAAGTGGGTTTTGATCTGGACCTGGTTTCATGTGGTCTCGAGGTGAAAAACAAAGTGAAAGCTCACATTTTTGTATTTTTACAAACAGAAAAAAAAATCACAAATTTGAATGTGGGTTTCAGACAATATAAAGGCTTTACCTAAAATGTCTCACATGCATTCACAACAGTAGGAGCTGCAAGAAGCCGAAGATCGGTCGCTCAGCAATGTATTTTACATTTCCCTTAACTTTCCCCTTAACTGCTGACTCAGAATTTAACTTCTGTTACTGTCACATCACACATGAAATAACATAATGACACTGATACACTGCTGCTTATATTGTTATTGGAGTGAATTTATTGTTGAAGTAGACGAATCATTTTAATATCAACTGAACACATGTATTACAGTTTACTGGGATATAGTTAGCCAGTGTTTGTCTTTATTATTTGTTTTGTTGAAGCGTCTGAGGAAGTATAGTGAAATAAAATCTCCTTCTCCATTTGCCCTGTCTACAGCTCTGAGTGTAACTTCCTGTCTGAGTTGAGCTCAGGTTTTGAGTTCATACAGGTAAACAGGCCTGTAAATGAGCTTGAAGCTAACGCTAGCTGTGACTGTAGTTCAGTCACTGTGCTTTGGTTTTTACCTCTGTTTTGTATTTCTGGCTAAATTCACATGTTGTTTTTATCTAAACTGACACATTTCTATGGTATAATATTCTTTATAAGGTAAAACAGATGTAAAACAGTCAGATAATATTCTTTATAAGGTAAAACAGATGTAAAACAGTCAGATTGTGGTTTGAACTAAACTTTGAGCAAATATTTAGTGTATTTTGTCTCTGTAGGACAGTGAACTCACCAGTGTTTGTTGTTGAGAAAAACCTGCTGGATTCAGTTGAATGTTTCTTTCCAGAGAAACAGAGAGACTCGTCTCCACTGCAGCTCTGCTGTCACTCACACACACTTTCACTTTCACTTTGATTTCAGGACTTTAAAGCTCTCCTCTTTCACTGTTGCTCCACCTCTCAGTGGGCCGTCACCAAGAGGGAGAGGTGGAGGAAGTATTCAGATCCTTTACTGAAGTCAAAGTACTAATACCACACTGTGACAATACTCCACTACAGGTAAAAATCCTCTCTTCAAATCCTTCCCTCAGTAAAAGTTTGATCAGGAACATTTATTATAAGTATGTGTAAAATGACTGATAGTGCAGTAAAGTGTTCCCTGCTGTCAGTGTTTTATTCTATCTGATGTTTTTGGATTAATATTCCTGCTGCATTAATGTGTATGTGTCATTTTACTGCTGTACATGTTTCAGGTTGAGCTCATTTGAACTACTTTATATCCTGTTGGAGAGTTTAATCTACAGCAATGCATCATGGTCTATAAAATCATCATATGTCTGTAGCGTGGCTGTCCTGTGAGAACCACGTGTCTCTAAGAGTTTTCTGAGGTGATTTATTAAGTTTAAAGAATAAATTAGTAAAGACAGAGGAAAAGTTCATCACAGAGTTTTTATGTGTTAAAGACTTTGATTTTAAAGTTTGACCCTGTGACCTCTCAGTTTCAGGTCACACAGCCCGCAGGTTGTCCTCTCTTCCCCCGAGAGGTGGAGAGCAGAGATGGATGAGTCCGACAGGAAGCTCCTCTCCAGCCCGTGATGGATGCTGCTGCCTCTGACGCTCAGGCTGCAGTGAGGGAACACGGCGGCTCCATGATGAGGAGGAGGAGGGTGTAGGTCAGGGTTATATATAGAAAACAGATGATGAGGTTTTTGCTCCGCCCTCTCTGTGATGCATGATGACAGCCTCTCCAGCTGTGTCCACTCAGGTGATGTCATCTAAAATGGACGATGGGCGAAGCGGCAGAGCAGCTGTCCCAGCACAGCACCGCGCGCCCCGGTAAATTCACCACAGCTGGAAGACGAGACCAGACAGGTCAGACTGAAGGTCAAAGGTCAGAATACATTAATGGAGAGCGGGGGATGTGTTCACTAAACATTTCAAAGCTAAAATAAAAGCTCTTAAGAGTTATTCACAAAATATTTTAGTGCTTAAAGAAACTCTAAAGTCCAGAGAACGAAAAACAGACATATTCAGCTTCAGCATCCATCAGAGATTCAACAAAAATGCAGAGACACAGAGAGAGTCTCCTCAGAGTCAGGAGCCAGTTTTCTCATTAAGTATGACACTTAAGGCTTAATTTCTCCTTAGCTGAGGTCCTTACTTAAGAGCATTGTGCAGAGTCCCATAGACAGTTCCCTTAGTTTAGGTAAAAAATCATTAAGACGTTTACTGCATTGAGAGAGATTTTACAGCCAGCAGATTCCACAGTTTCCGTGGTAACCGTTTGTTTGTTTGCACTCACACTTTTGATACCTTAGTCTTGTGTGCAATGGTTTCACTAATTTTAAGGGATTCCTTAAGTATGAGATCAAGAAAGGAGAAAATCTTATACTAAAGTGAACACTTGAAGATCATCCGGAGGAGAAGTTTTGTTTTGTGCGGCTGGGACCGGTTGTACAAAACACCTTAGGTTTTCGCCCACTTAAGGCTTAATTTCTCCTCAGCTGAGGGACTCACACAGTAGCACAGAATCCCTTCAAAGTTTTCCTTAGTGAGGGAAAAACATTAGCTCATTTACTGCATTGAAAGAGATGGCCAATAGAGAGTGAAAAAATGGCAGAAGAAAAGAAGACAAGAAAACCAAACTGGTCAGAGGAGGAAAAGATTAAACTTCTGGAGGAATACAATCATTGAATACACAAACTACAAAATAATTTTGATCCCCAAACACCAGAAAACAAAAAACTATAACAGGAAGAAACTGACCCTTTGCTAAGTCCCACCCCAGGATGCAGACTGGCCAATCACAACATAGCATCAGGCCGGCTTGAACGTTTTTTGACTTCCCCCTGAGATCCCTGCCTGTCCAGCGACAGAGGTCCAGGTGCTGGCAGCAGCACGGGGGTGAAGCCAAACACTGTTCATCTGCACACACTGTGATGCCACACAGCTGGTTCAGTATCAGCAAAGTTTCCCTTTATATGCATTGTGTTGTGTGGCGATCAGCAGTAATGTGGTGGTTCACTTTTACACTGTGATCTGTAGCCTATAGTTCGGCTTTAGCTTCTAACTATCTTTGTCTTTTTAACCTGTTGTTGCTGCTGAGTCAGTATGACATCCTGGATATATCCTTCAAACACAGACTGTAGACCCCTCTGTCTGCTTCTCTCTGGGATCACTGTTTCATTTTCCCAAATATATGATATTAATATTTCTTCAGGGAGTGCAGTTAGTTACAGTGTGGGCTCCACGCTTACTCTGACAGCTTGTCGGACCATCACAAAGAGGCGGAGCTTAGTGAACATTAATTCAGTCAAATCTTAAATCTAAAAAAGGTGTTTTTTTTAATTTTTTGTTTTCATTTACCACCATAAAATTGGTCATGTTGCAGTTAAGATAGACTCAGAGGGACCTTAAGTTTGTTTTTGTTTTTTACCTGGCTATGGTTGCTAAGGTCTTTTGTGCAGCGGTCAAGGGATTCCTTAAGTATAAGTCCAAGACAAGGAGAAAATCATAAACACTTCAAATCTTAACTTAAGGTGTTTTGTGGGCCTCAGATTTTATTTAAGAAAATCTTAACTAGGACCTTAAGGAAAATCTTAACTCAAGGTGTTCTGTGCAAGCCGCCCCAGATTTTATTTAAGAAAACCTTAACTAGGACCTTAAGGAAAATCTTAACTCAAGGTGTTTTGTGCAAGCCGCCCCAGATTTTATTTAAGAAAACCTTAACTAGGACCTTAAGGAAAATCTTAACTCAAGGTGTTTTGTGCAAGCCGCCCCAGATTTTATTTAAGAAAACCTTAACTAGGACCTTAAGGAAAATCTTAACTCAAGGTGTTTTGTGCAAGCCGCCCCAGATTTTATTTAAGAAAACCTTAACTAGGACCTTAAGGAAAATCTTGCAACCTGCCCCAGAGGTTTAATCTCTTTCAGACCGTTTTAATAATCTGTTGCAGATGCCAAAAAAAACGTCAATAAATAATCAGCAATAATTTTAAAATAAAAAATGATCCCACTGCCTTTGTGCTGCGTTCAATGTTTCCCCACCCACGGGAGTTGTGAGTACTCTGATTTGAAACACACAAACATTAATTAAATGTAGCACGAGTGAAAACTAAGATGAACCCAGCAGACTGAGTTTGTAACGTCACTGCAACAAGTAGTTCAACTGCTGTGAAGGTAAAGTCAGGAATTTAAAATCAGTCTGATTTTACTGAGCAGCTGAAGGTTTGAGTTGAGATTTTATCGGCTCAAATTAATCTCATATCAAAGAAAAATGACTGAACCTGAAACACAATAAGCCTCTCATAGACACCTGAGACAAACTCCACTCAAACTGAGGGAGAGAGCAGTGAGTGCAGCAGCAGCGCCCCCTGCTGACTCTGGATGAAGCAGCACAGCCTGGAACGAGACATCTTCTCTATCAGGGAGACGCTCTGGAAAATGTCAAAATAATATTCAAATGTCTTTGAAAACGTGGAGTTTGTCTTGTGTGTTCCCACTGATTAACCACAAAAAGTTACATAAATGTTTTTGTTTCTATCAAATAAAAACAAATAAATGAAAAGAAAATCTATAAAATTTGTTTTTCAAGAAATAAATTAAGTTAAATGAAGTATATTTATTTGTTGAGCACCATCACAGTCCTGGTTGCCAAACTGACCCTGACCCACTGTGTGTTGTTTTTTATGTGTGTGGTTTTATTTTGCAGGTATCAGTTTTCTGCGTTTTGGTTGTCAGTAATAAGTGATAAGCCTGTTTTAATGGATGATTAAAATGAACCTTGTGCTTTACAAAGACAGGTTAAATACAATTTAACCAAATAATCAAATAAAAGCAGATTTTATATTCACATAATTAATCAGCACTTTAACTCAGCTGTGACGCCTCTTATAAGCTTCACCTTAACTTCACACACTATTTGTATTTAAACAGTGACATCCATGTAAATATGTTTAAAATACACTTTACAGAAATGTGAATATATCCTTGAAATGTGATCATCAGTTCTGTTATTAAGAATAAATTTGAGGTACTTGCACTTTACTTGAGTATTTCTATTTATGCTACTTGATACGTCTACTTCACGACATCTCAGAGTGAAGTTAAATAATAATACCTGACATGATGTAGGACAGAACCCAGTGTTAAAGATTAAACCTATTTGTCTTGTGGCCGCTCATCCTCTGACTCCTTGCTGTATTTCAGATGTCTGTTAGCTGTTAGCAGCTCCACCAAAGAGACGTTCCTCCTCCAAACTTCTCAGATGGTTTTAAAGGTCTAGCGTGAAAGATTTCTGAGGATATATTGGCAGAAAGATAATAAGTCAGTTTTCTTCAGTGTATAATCACCTGAAAATAAGAATCGTTGTGTTTTCATTGCCTTACAATGAGATATTTATACCTACACATACTGTAGGAAGCAGGTCTTTGTCTGCAGAGATCACCATGTTGCACCGCCATGTTTCTACAGTAGCCCTGAGGAGACAAACCAAACACTGGCTCTAGATGGGATATTTGTGTTCTTGCGTCGGCCACCATAGTCAGCAGCCCCTCTGCAATGAGCAGCATCACAAAAACACTGATTTTTAACTTGAAATTAATTTATTCAGTGTTTTCACTGGTTTAAATCACCTGGAGTCTCATTTGTAAACATTGTGTATGCACAAAACATGGCCTGGATGAGGCGTACGCCACTTCCTGTTGGAGACTGGAAAATAGCGACACAGATGGTGAGGTGGAAGACTGATTTTAGAAACTGTCAAGTATTTTTGGCTTTTGTCCGTACGTACATTTTTAGTGTGGATCTGACGCATTGTTTTATAAATGAAACCCCAGGTGTTTTTGTTTTGGAGAGGGAGATACCTCTGCCGATAATTCAGCTTCTGGTGAAAACCACGTCAAGATCTTCAGGGGATAGTCATGATTTTTTGAAGCGGGGTTGTATGAGGTACTTATCAGTGTAGTACATACAGTAAATGTCAGTCGGTACGGCCCCAGATTGGAGAAACAGGCTGGAGTCTGAGCCAGACGTTAAGCAATACTGCTGTGGATGGGTCAGCAATAAAACAAACACCTTTTAAACACCTAGAAAAAGTCCCACCGACAACAATTACTGTCAGTTTAAGTGTACATCATATTGAGGGTATTGTTACCACCGTATCCATTCTGTCAGACAGCAATTAAAACTGAAGCCATTATACTGCTTTCATCAAAGCCAGACTCCATTGAGAAGAACGGTGATTTAACATTTATTATGTGACTTTGGCGTTTAAAAGACTTGATTCAGATTTACCAAAGTCACAAAACAACATAAGTGATGGGAGCAGCAGTAGACCAACAGCTCCCGTGTTCAGTGAGCAAAAATTACTGTTTTTCTCAGTCTGGTGGTTTTGATTGAGCATAAATGTGAAACTGAAGCTGCTAACGGCTTTCCCGTCTGAATGGCCTGTCCACTGTAGGTAAGACACTGACTATGGATAAGTACCTCATACAGCATGCTGAAGGAATTCTAACTAGAAGTTTCATCTGGTTGCAGTATGCAGTCCTCACCACTAGATGCCACTATATCTACACAGTGTTTCCTTAAAATAAAACCTTGAGGCCTAAAACAGAAAAATGATCCAATTTTTCCCAAAAAGGAAAATGATATAGCAAAGTTTGAGTGAATGGAAACTGATTTGTGTAACAGAACTTTTTTCTTGTCTTTCATAGCGACTTAATCGCACGCCTTTCTGTTTGTTGTTCTAACCACAACATTTGTTTATTGCGTTTTATATATTTATATATATAAGTATAGATCAGTAAGTGTTACTCTACACAGAGTAACACTTTAAGTAACAAACTACTCTCAAATGAAGGTACCTAGTAACACGTAATATATGACATTTTGAGAGTAACTTGCTCAACACTGCTGATGTAGTTAGGCCGTCCAGACACAGCTACAAAGAGAGACAGCTGATCCTAAACACCTGAACAAACTGTCTCCCACTCAAGGCCCACTTACTCTGTCTCTCTGGAGCTTTTAGCTGTATATGAGTTTGTTCAGTTGTCGTCAGGGGAGTTAATACAGACAGTGCAGGCTGTGTGTTTGCCCTGGGGCCCGTGATGTGGGGGGGCCATAGAGAGAGTGGGCCCTCCAACAATAGTCCTTTTTAGATAGGAACTGTGCAAATTTGCAGGAAAGCCCAATCAGTCTTTTTTCAGCATCGGCAGTATAAAAACAAAATCGGGGAGTGCAGCAAAATGCCGCCTGCCTACTTTTGTTCATACAGAATGAGCCTTTTTCGGGGCAATGGGGGGCGTGAGCAAGTAACAAAACGTGTAGCTCAGCGTGTGACGTAAACAGTGACGTGGGAGGGAAGCCGCGGCTGGTCAGTCCTTCGGCGATTCTCTCGTAAGTCGGCCCGTTCTTCACCGTCCCCGTCATCTGACGGTTAATGGCCTCTTCGTTTGCGAGGACAAGGAGGGCGCGCAATTCCTTGTCTCCTCAGTTGCTCATCTTTACAGTGTCTGTCAGGTTTGTGTTTCCCTCTTGCTACTAGCTGCTCGCTAATTCCTGCTATCAGCTGTTTCCTGTTTATCCACCGCCAGTGGGTCGCACGTGCGGCGTCATCAACAGCTCCTCCCACAAGTCTTCAACAGCCCCTCCCGTGGCAGAAGGCCGCCTCGGTCTGTTTAAACTAAAAGGGTTCCTCCAATATGTCTACCCTACGAGGGGGAAAATTGGACACCTCGGATCAACTCGCCAATCCAGCTCTGTGTGTCTAAACGCGGCTCGTAACTTGCCGGCAAAACGGCCCAACATTCGCGGAAAATCTGGCAGTGTAAAAGGGGCTGAAGTGTTGGGCGCAGATTGGGCCCTGATGAGTGACTGCCACCTTGAAAATGTGTCCGTGTTCAAAGAAGAACTCTCATTAAATTAAAAACATTAGCTATATATGCCCTTGAAAAAAGGAAACCCATCTCCATCATGTTAATTTTTACTTTTTTTGTACACCAGTCAACAGCTTCTATAACACAATGACATGCTTATTCTGTAACTGTCAAAATAAAAAAATAAAAAAATAAAAAATAAATCAACTAATATTTTTCATTTTCTTTGGTATTTTTTGTTATATACAGATATGCAATGATGATTGCTGGGTAATATGAATGTTTATGTTATCCTGTGGCAAGTCTCTGATCATGTGACGAGATGATATGTGCACACTAGTGTGCACTAGGGCCTCTCTAACTCCCTTACACCACTGGTTGTCAGTAGATGTTCAAACTTTCCGTTATTATCAGTGATGGAGGAAGAATTCAGACCCTTAAAGTAAAAGTACTAAGACCATGATGTAAAAATACTCAGTTACAAGTAAAAGTCCTGCGTTGAAAAACTGTTACTGAAATTAAAGTCAGTAGCCTATGATCTGGAAAATGTTCAAAAAATAGAAAAATGTCTCCCGTGACTGTTTTACTAAAATAGATTATTGTTTTTCAATAATATTGTTGTTGGTTAAAGTGGAGCTGATGTTGAGCTTTGCTGAAAATGGCGTTTTAAAAAAATGTTTTTGGGGACGTGATGACGTGTGACGTGACTGACGACAGACGCATCAGATTTTTGATGCCTTCACGTGCTGTGTGAAATGTTGGAATTATGAGACTTTTAACAGCAACACAAACAACCAGTCAGTGAGAACTGGAATAATTCAGATCATTTTAAAAGATTATACATCAGTTTGATGAAGTGATATTTAAGTATTGTGAGCTCCTCCTTCATTTTTGGTTATTTTGCCTTTCACTTGATGTGCAACTTGATCTCATACTTTGTTTTATACTTTTGGACATATTTGTCTTTATAGAAGTTTAGAAGTTTTGACACCCAAAAATATTGATTTTAAACAAGTAATTCAATCTCAGCTTCATCTGTAGATGTGACTGTGATCATCCTTTTCATGATGTCCATTTGAGTTATGCATTCATTGTAAATATTTTGGCACTTTCATCCCAACGTTTGCCCCACTTAATACCTATTTATTGGCTTTATCTCGTGTATTCTTACCCCTCGCAGAAGAAATTTTTAAGAATATGTATGTCTGTGAAAGCTGTCTGTTTTGTTCTACCTTTATTTTCAGTTCCCAAAAATCTTAAACTTGGTTTTACACATATTTAATGTTAATTTATTCCAACAAACCTCATATTTTATTTTCAATATTTTCAATGAATATGCCATGTTTGAGACTTCTGAGAAGTTTTTGGGTATTTAGTTTATTTATGTGCACAGAAAGGACAGTAAGAGCTAATAAAAGGCTTAAACATCGTGCAGGAAAGGTTAGGAGCCAAAAACAGCTCATGAAGATACCTCTTAAATTTAAAAGCAATAATCTTACATAAAAAAGAAAAAGAAAAAAACAGATTGCAGAACTGATCATAATTGTTCTGTGTAATTTCACTAAATAGAGCTGACAGCAGGTTTTACGGGTTTGTGCACTTGAGCAGTTAATAATGTTAAAAATGTTGTCAAAATAAATTAAATATATTTCACACAGAATTTTCATGTGTTGAGGTCAGACTTTAATTTTTTTATGTGAGTGTCTAATTTTCTCTTAATACAGTTATTAATGTCACACAAACAGGCTTGAATAACAAATTTATGGACAAGATGTCTGTTCTGTTCTTTTTTTCATTTCCCCAAAATTAAATTCAATTCAATTTTATTTATAAAGCTCAGTATCACATATAACATTTTGAGAGGGCTTTACAGTACACGACATCCTTCTGTCCTTTGGACCTTCACAGCAGATAATGGAAAACTCCCCAAAAAAGTGGTTAACACTGTCGCCTCACAGCAAGACGGTTCCTGGTTTGAACCCTAGAGTGGGGGAGTCCTTCTGTGCAGAGTTTGCATGTTCTCCCTGTGTCAGCGTGGGTTTTCTCCAGGTGCTCCAGCTTCCTCCCACAGTCCAAAGACATGCAGGTTAATTGGTGACTCTAAATTGTCCGTAGGTGTGAATGTGAGTGTGAATGGTTGTCTGTCTCTATGTGTCAGCCCTGTGACAGTCTGGTGACCCCTGTGACCCCCAGCAGAATAAGTGGTTAGCCTACTGAAAATGAACATGTAAGGTATATCTTCTTCTTTGTCCTCAATAAAAAGAAAAAAAAAAATACAGCTGTTTAAATTTGTATACAATTCCCTTAAACCTAAATAATCTCCTTCCAGTGCTTGAGAAATGATTTGAAATATCTAACAGTCCCGAATACTGAAAAGCTTCCCAGCGAAAAAATAAAATAGATAAATAAATAAACAACTTTTTAGATATGGATTCAATTTATATTTTAATCTGAGCGTGTATTTTTCTGTTAATAAAGTCCATGATGTCACAAACGGGGTTGAATATCAGTGCGATCGCAACATGGGGAATAACGGAACTTTAGGATAGTCAGAGTTTTCTGGCAGCACCTGAACGCACCACTAGACTCCTCCTACTTCCGGTAAGAAACCGCTATCCGTCAGAAAAAACATCCCGAGCTGAAATCCGCTACACGGACACACTTCTCCCGACACCACCGCGGTCTGGTTGTTATTTTACGGGGTTTGTAGCCTCTCCGGACACACAGAGAGAACATGCCCGCACTGAGGTAACCGTCCCCGGGCTGCTGCTGCCTCCTCAGCCGGCTGAAGGACAGGAGCAGGACGGACAGACCCAGATGGAGAGGCCGGGCAGGCTGCTGCTGCTGTCCGAGCTCCGCGTCAGAAACGCGGCGTACGATGTGAGCCTGAGCCGGTCCCTGCTCACCTGGAAGAGACGGATCTCCAGCCCGGTGTACCACCCGTTCAGACCCAGTAAGACACGGATAGATAATATGTCTGTTTATGTCCATGTGTCTCTGAGTTACCTCTCTGTCTGTCGGCCCTAAACACACCGCGACATCCTGTGTGATAAACAAAGGACAGACAGAGGACATGTTGGACACAGTGTCCGGACCTGCACACAACACACTCGTTAATGGACTTAACAGACATGAAGCAATCCGGGCTGTAACAATGAGTGAGACATGATATATCCGGTTACACAACACACATCATCGAGTCTGACACACGATATATGGAGGTCACAGGAAGGCTGCAGGCAGGGGGGGGGAGGAACAGCACGAACCAAACCTCATACATTTTTTACAGGATTTTAAAGTCAGACTGATGTGGAGAAACAGAGGAGCCTAAATATGTTCGAGGAACTAAACCATGATATTTCACAGTTCTCAGGGCAGATGTGGAAGCACAACTGTAGCTCAGTAGTTGAGGTATTTATACTTCACTTGTGTTCTATGTTACTTTATACTTCTAGGTTACTACAGGTCAGAGGCAAATAATGTACTTACTACTGCAGAACATCTGTCTGACAGCTGGAGCTCACTTTGCAGATTCAGACTGTTAAAGCTCCAGTTTGTAGGTTTAGGGCGACATATTGGCAGCAATGGAATATAACATGATAAGTCGCTGAGTCGCTGTGTTCTTTTACCTTAGATTGAGCAGTTTATAGGAAGCGAGTCCTCGTCTGCGGACTCTGCCATGTTTCTACAGTAGCCCAGAATGGACAAACCAAACTTTGGCTTTTGTGTCAGCCTTGAAGCTAATTTTCATAGTGGCCAAACGGTTAAACAACTCCTGAGTCCATCACATGATGCCTTGAGGCTAGGGGAGGGTGATATGGTCCTTACGTAATTACACTATATTTCAGGGTATTTTTGGGATAAAAATATTTGTGACGATATGACAAATTAGTAAAACAAAAACTAAGTGTAGTTTTACAGTTTGCTTCAAATATTCAGTAAAAACTAAAGAAAAATAATCTCTCATTTCTTTAGTTTGTGAACAACAACAGTAACTCAGAGTGAGATTCAGAGTCTGTTACAATATTAATAGTTCAACTAAATAAAATCTGACACTAATTACACATTTAAACAGCTCCCAAATGCAAAAAATGTCCCCTGGGATCTATATATATATAAATCAACAGCTGATTTCCTTCTTTTAGTAAAATCCTAAATTACTGAGTTGTTTTTTTCCACCTGGACCTTTATGCTCTGCCATTTCTCCTCTAATCATCAGGCTGTAACCTGTGACAGGCTGTTATGATACCACAACTATCACACAGTCACATATATGGAGTTTTTTCATTCAGGTTGGCATCACCAAAGGTTTATGACAGAATCAGAGAGGAGAGGGAGAGACGCTGTGCTGCTGCCAGAGGAGCCGCTGAATGAGTTCCCTCTGAGCGCTAAGAGAAGTAAAACATTCAGGACGCCACAGTTTATTCCACACTACTGAAGCTGCTCCTCTTTTTGGAACCACCGCACAGCCAGTAATAGTTTCGCTTTTAGTCATTCTTGTTGTAGCCGTGGGAAACAGTATGACGTCAATATGTGAACAAGTATCACAATATGAATTTTTAATTTATTAAAAATCATACTGGTATTAAAGTGAATGAGATAAGATGGCACACCCCTACCTGGGGCTCAAGAAGACTATTTTCTGTTGACTAACATTGTGAAAGAGACGCTTGTAGGTCAGTAGATCAGTGGATGATTTTTTGAGTTTCACAGTTTGTGATGACTCGTTTCAATAGCAGGTTTAAATCCATTCTGTCTGAAAACATCTGGAAAGTCTAGAAGAGCCGCAAGATTCAGTTATTTTATTTCCATTCACGTTAGCAGAGAGCTCAACTGGAAATGGCTGGCTGCGCTGGTGGCAGTCTCATAGTGTACTGCTCCTTTTACTTAAAGGCTGTGACTGCTCTGTTTGCTTTCTCCATCATAATAATCTCTGCAGTGAGTCGATGAGTGAAATATCAGTGGGTTTGGTTTCAGGAGGTGAGGAGTTTATCTTCAGGAGCTCTGCAGTGAACACTGAACTGTCCCTCCTGTTTGTTCTTTAAGGACACTCACTGTGATAACTGTTACTGAACACTGTGTTTCCTCGAAGATTCAGCTTCCTGAGAGTGTTTAGGTTCACAGTGGGTTTTCAAGGTGCAGATAAAGGTCCATTAATCTGTGGAGCTTGTGATGAAAGAAGTGCTTTGAGGGTATTTGGTAAAATATTGATTAGATCTAACTTTATCGTCACTGCACAAAGTTCAGGTCAGAGACAACAAATGCAGTTCAGCATCTAACCAGAGGTGCAAAAAGCAGTGAAGTGCAGAGTAATAAACAGAATAAACAGTAATGTGTAGAACTAGAAAGGAGAGCGCAGACCTCTGACAACGCTCCAGTCTTCTATGACATGCAGATCTGCACAACTACAGTATGACTGGATATGTAACGAGTGCTCCCGCTTTTTGTAAGAAGTTTAAGCAGCTACACGTGAAGGCCACCGCAGAGGATAACTGATAGCCCTGAATGTGGACTGTGATGTGGAGTAATCGTATTTCTGTGATCAGCTGCTGAACTTTGCCGCCGTCGTCTGGGCCAAGTTGTTAAAAAAGAAATTAAATCTGGATTAGAATGATCCAGATTTGTAAATCCCATGTTTTGCTGTCCAGGATCAGATAATTCATTTCACCTTTCTGCCGGTTTTTCAAAGCAACATTGGACTGAATCATTCTGATCCAGATCATGTAGTTATTCCACAGGCTAGTTAATAACATGTCGGGCAGGAAATCCAAAGTGTGGGATCATTTTGAGAAGGTGAAGGACGAACCCAAGGTGATATGTAAACTCATCTTCATTGGTCGACTACAAACATGACGTATCATCTGAAACATGGAAGTAGCTACATGCCCATTAGCCCACAGCGTCATTAACAGGCGGCTCGCTCAGTGTGTGACGTGCACTTGGAGATAAAATATAGGCCTATATTAATGAAGGTTCATTAGCACGGTTTTGTATTTCTCTGTAATGTAGCACAGTGTTAACAATGTTACTGATACTATTCTTTCTCACACCTTCAACTCAAACCACCAAAATATATCATTTAATCATTACATTCATATCAGAAATATGCAGGAGACTAGTCCATTGATGTATCAGTACATGACAGTGGAATAAATATAAGGGCAAAGTGTATGAAGATTAAAAAATGGATAAATAAAAATGAAAAGAATACTATTAGTAATAATAATAATAATAATAATAACAATATTCTTTAGTAATAGTGCACTTTTAAAAACCTCCAAGTGTAAATGTCTCATATTTAGACTCTGTGTTCGTCCAGGTGTGTCCTGAGAGTCAGACAGGTGAGCTGCGTTCAGGAACGTGACAGTTTGAATATTAAAAGCAGCAGATCAGAGGCTGTCTCAACATGCGCTATGACTGCAGCTGAGGCAGCCTGCAGTCATAGAGTCACAGATTTATTTACACTGCTGGAGGTTTCTGAAGGTAAAGATTAGCTTGACCTTTGAAGAAACAACAGCATTTCAAGCTCTGTGACTTTCTTTTAACTGAGAAGCATCCTGGGAGTTGTAGTTGACTTCTCATCCTCAGTATTTATGTCCACAGGCGTGTAGCTTTAAATTTATTTCTTTTCTTTCTTGAGCAATCAGATGTTTTTCTGGCACAGCTGTTCATCTTTAGTGAACCAGCAGCGTTTCCTGTCTGTTAAAAAGTGTCAGCGCCTTCACGTTATCTCTGTCACGGGTTTCTCTCGGGTGATCACAGTCCAGCTGTTTGTGTTGTCATGGTGACGACAAACAGCCGCTGAGACAGGAAGCAGTGTGTTTGTGTCGTGATTGTGTTTCAGGTGTGAATCTTTAATGTCTGACCTGCTTCCTGTCTGCTGCTGCTGATGATTATAAAATGTTAGTTTAAGAGCACATATGAAGAAGACAAACAGTATAACATTAATTACATGTTGTCTGTATGTTAGTAAACCAGTGGGGCAGTATTATATTGACATTTACTTCCTGTTTGCTGCTCACACACATGAAATGGGGTATAATAAGTAGATCAAACAGCTGTTTTAAACTGTTCAGATGTCATCACATCGAATAAGATCAAGAAAAAAGACACCAATAAAACAAAGAATGATAATTATATTTTAAAGTGCAACTTTCAGATACTCTCTTTCAACTAATCGAAATATACTTAAGTGCAATATTGCAGTCTTTTCCTACGTGTTTATTGCTAACGGTTAAGTGTGTAAGATTTAGGGGGATTTAGTGGCACCTAGTGGTGAGGGTTGCAGTTTGCAACCAGCTGAATCTTCTCGTAGTTAGAATTCCTTTGGTGTTCATTGATCAGGAGGTTTTAATTGGCAGCCGTATTATCCACAGAGGTCGCCTGCTCTCCAGAATAAACAGATCTGGTGATTAAGACTGAGTAAAGCAGTTTTAAGTTACAATCAGTGTTTTTCTGATGCTGGTTGGCACGTCAGAGACGGGTTGCTAGCATAGCACCTGCTGTGTGCTCACTTATTTTCTGATCCAGACACTGAGAAGGTTTTCAGCTGGAGCCAAATTATCTGCAGAGGTGTCTTGTGCCAAAACAAACCAGGTGATTTAAACCAGTAAAACACTGAATGAATTAGTTTTATGTTATAAGTCAGTGTTAAGCTGGAGACACACAAGATAGGCACGACCTTTTTAAACCGTGCCACTGCCCTCGTGCTAACATCCTGTATGTTGGCATAGATACAGCCAATAGAAGACGCTAGAGGGTGGAGTCAAAAGTTTCAGACAACAACAAACGAGGCAACGATGGAGGAGGTTGTGATATTGTACCTTTAAAAGGAGGCAGCGTTATAGATGGCAGTAGTCTGTGAGGCCATTAAATACATCCCCAATGTGTGGATGGAGAATTCTTTTCACTGTATTTCCAATTTGTTGTGTTACGCCATTATTTAAATTCTTTAAAATTCTCCCATGGTCATATCTCGCTAAAATGGTGCCACACTGCGCCCACGATCTCCGGTGGTTCTGCTGTGTTTGGTCCATTTCCAAAAGCTTTCAGAGAATGTGCACAAATTCGGACGAAATAAACTAGGGATGCAGGATAATATTGGTACGTCATCAGTATTGGCCAATAATGAAATATTAGAATCAACCAACATGCTTTTTAGGGCGTCTGCGGCTCAGAGGTAGAGCGGGTCGGTATCCTTGGGCAAAATGCTGAACCCCACAAAGCTCCTGGATGTTGTTCTATCACTGTGTGAGAGCGTGTGAATGATTAGTAGGTGGGACCATGTCAAAAAATCAGTGTTTCCGCTGCTCTCGTCACAGAGGGGCCGCTAACTACAGTGGCAGATGCAAAAACTCCAATGTCCCTATCTAGACCTGCCCCTTGTGTAGATATATACAGCTCATTCTAAGGTAACAAAAACACAACAAGACATTTTGTGCAGCTGTGTTGTGTATGAAGAAAAAGGCTTCACGTGATAATGTGATATCCACTGCGCTAACATTTATTAAACTGAGCTAAATTTAAAAAGTACTAAAATTTACTTTACAAACCTGTTTTTACACTCTATTTTAGTTATTAAACTAAGAACATTTTAATGCCTTCTGTTAGTGTTGGGGCTCCGCACGGTGGAGGACCACCACAGTTCGCTCTCTGCACTAAAACACTGAGGTGGAGGGTCTCCTGGGTGACCTCTGATCTGTGGAGTGTTTGGTAACGGTCTGGTTCTCCTGCAGGGTTTTGTGTCCCTTCGTTCCCTCGTCGACCAGACTCAGGTAGGAGATTTAGCTCCCACAATGCAGTGGGCCACCTCCACCTGCCCGGGTGCAGGTTTAGTTATTGTGGTGCTGCTGTTTAAAAACATGTTTCTGTGTTCGATGGCTGAACTATGACTCAACCTGCAGTTATGTTCCAAAATGATGAAAGTAAATCAGGCATCTTAAATATTTATCTTAAAATCTTAACAAAGAAACTGGCTGTGTTCAGTCTGAATTCTGTTAATGTTAGCTTTAATTTCATTTATGAGTCTCCAAACTCACATTTTGGAATAAAACTCTTGTTTTCAGAGACGTAAATGGTGTCAGCTTTGTTGCTGTTTTCCATCAACATCCAGCAGAAACATGCTTCTTCCCCTCGCTGCTCCTGGTTAGTGTTTGTAGTGTGGCTGAGTAGTTTCAGTGCCTCTGCTGTAGTTTGTTCAGTTTGTCAATTCATGTGCTGCTGCTTTCAGAAAAAAATCCTATTTAATCAAATGTTCTTTGAAGAATAGGGATTTTTTTGTAAGATTGAGATGTTCAGACGGACGTTGAACTCATGTTTGCGTGGTAAACCTGCAGCTGCAGTCAAGACATTGTTAGCTTAGCTTAGCATAGCAGCTGTTGTTTTTACAGTTTGCTCTCTTTCTGCCGTCTTAAGATGTTTTAATCTGTCATAAAACAAACTACACAATAACACAGCTACATATTAACCAAGAAAACACACAACACAGGTTCAATTCAACGTAAAACATGGACACACAAACTGTAAACAGCCTTAAACTGACTCGCAGGATTAAAACACCAAGAGTTAAATCAGCTCCTGTCAGTCCTCTTTATATCGCCTGTTTCCCCCTGACAGTCTGGGTTTGAATGTTCTTACATATTTTATTATCAAATCTATTAATGATGATAGCAGTCTGAATAGAGAAACAAGCATTACACAAAGTGGTGATGTAATCGCAGGGTAAGTGGTTCGATCCATGGCTCCTCTGGTTCACATGTCAAGTCAGAGTGTCCTTGAGGGACACACTGAGACCAAATTACACATTGTAGAAGGCTTTTTATTAAAGCAGTCTGCAGCTGTAATATTTAGGCTGATGTTTATGAGAATTAAAAGCCTATAAACGTTATAATATCAATGTTCTTCCTTTAAGTAACCTGGTGAATACATTTTTAAAACCATGAAAACCTTTTTCTTGCTCACAAAGTGTATTTATTAAAGACATAAATCAAAGAAAGATCAGTGTGACATGTAATATGACCTAATAAGAATAAAGACCATAAAATCTAGGACATGAAAATTAAATAAGATTGCAATAAAAACACTACGAGACATAATAGATAGTTTGTAATTAAAATATAATTTGCACGCCATTTAAGGTGCTTTTAGTCTCGACCTGGGAATTTCAAATAACCACCAGCACCTTCATGACAACAATAGCCGTGGCCAGCGGCGTTATGTTTTCGGGTTGTCCTTCCATCCTTTCATATGTCTGTCTGTACGCCTGTCGATACGTACGTATGTCTGTCCCATTCTCAAACATGATATCTCAAAAACACCTTCAGGGTCTTTGGACTGAACAATCAAGTGATTAGATTTTGGTGGTCAACGGTCAAGGTCACTGTGAACCTGCATCCTTGTCATTCTTGTGAACATGATATCTCAAGAATACCATGAGGGAACTTCTTCAAATTTGGCACAAACATCCACTTGGACTTAACAATGATTTTGGTCATGATTGGTCAAATGTCAAGGCCACTGTGATCAGTTTCATCTCGTGAATGTAACATCTCAAGAACACCTTGAGGTTTTACCTTCAAATTTGGCACAAACGTTCACTTAGATTCAAGAATAACTTGATTAGAATTTAGTGGTCAAAGGTCACCGTGACCTCACAAAACATGTTTTTGGCCATAACTCAAGAATTCATACACTGATTATGACAAAACTTCAGACAAATGTCAAACAGGATAAAATAATGAAGTCGTGACATTTTATATCCAAAAGGTCAAAGATCAACTTTACTGTGACATCACCATGTTTTAACATTACTCCAGGAACAGAAGGGGAGACATTTGGTCAGATACTGAATTGGTGACTCTAATCTTGAAACTGTGCTGATTGTATAGATCTTCTGTGTGAAGCATCCATGTTTTCACTGACATGGATGGAAACTGTGAGTGCAACATGACTGGTGTGTGGAGGGAAAATGTCAGTCTGATTTCAAATGACGTTTAGTTTCTTCTGGTTTAGACCCTGAAAGTTCTGCTTTCACTTGGGCTCATCCAAGATTACAGTTCAGACATTCAAAACCAAAAACAACTCTTGCACAATCCCAGCTGAACTGTTTCTTCTTGTGTTGTTCTCGTTTGGTTCAAGTTCAGGTTTCAGTTCATTTCTTAAAATATCACATGAAACTTGAAACTTGTGATGCATTCATGTGCAGTAGAGAGGCTCTGAAATATCTGGCCTTCAAACAACTAACAAGCTGTGGGTGTCTGTGTGTGTTTGCAGGTGTGTGTCACAGTGTGTCAGTGTCAGAGATCATCTCTGTCAGAGAGGAAGAGGAGGAAAACAGCAGCAGAGGAAGAGACGATGGCAGCTGGAAAAAGATCAAGGAGAGAGAAGGAAAGGACTGCAGGCAGGCCTTCACAGGTAAACACATCTGGAAACACAGTAACATAACATCTGGAAACATGCCCGTACATGCACCTGGAAATATACATGAAAGCACTGGAGGCACAGGAGAAAAACATCTGGAAATACACCTGGAAATATAGTAAGCACACCTGGAGGAACAGTAACAAAACATCTGGAGACATGCCTGTACACGCACCTGGAAACATACATGAAAACACACCTGGCAACAGATTACAACACATCTAGAATCATACCTGGAAATATCATAACCACACCTGCAAACAGTACAATAACATCTGGAAACACATCTGTACACTTACCTGGAAACATACATGAAAACACACCTGGAAACACAGTAACAAATCCCCTGTAAATAAACATGAAAACACGCCTGGAGGCACAGTAAAATAACATCTGGAAGTACTGTAAAAAAAAAAAAAAACACATCCGTACACGCAGCTGGAAATATACATGAAAACACACCTGGAAACAGACTGAAACACATCTGGAATCACACAGTAAAATATATCTGGAAACACAGCTGAAAACAGAAAATACAGGAACACACACTTGTAAATACAGTTAAAAAACTTCTGGAAATATCTGTACACACACCTGGAAATACACGTGAAAACACAACTGGAAATGCACCTGGAAGCACAATACACAGATGCTGAAATTGGGTTTAACACCAGGAAACATACCTCGAAACTCATTAAAACACACCTGGAAACACTGACAAGTGCAACGAATAAAAATGGAAACACAGTTAAAAAAAAAAAAGAACCCTTCTGGAAACACATTAGTCCATGCACGAGGAAACATAACATGGTATCACACCCAGGAACAGATTAACAACACAGCCTGATTACTTACTTTGGTAGAAGCGTAAATATCAAGGAAAAATGACCGAATCAACAAAATCTGTAAGTCGACAAATTTGGGACAACAAAAGACAACAAAACAGGAACTAAAAGTTGTTGTTTTGAGCCAAGACAATTTTCGGAAAATTTGCGACCCCTACCTGCTGGTGAAGATAAGTGAGGAGCCAGCATCATGTGACGATATAAAACAGCCTGTAAAACAAATAATTCAACAATTATGAATCACCGAATCCACGAGAGGTCCTTGAGCCTACAGTCATAAATGTGCACACAAAATATTAGGCTGATAGGTCCAGTAGTTTAGCTGCGGACAGAGAGATACACATACTCACCCATGCACACACATGAAGAAACACATGATCCCCACATGGCGGACATAAGAAACTTGAAGCACACTAAACACACTCGTTAACACACCTGGGGTCCGTTTCTCAAAGCAGGTTTAGTGAAAACTCAGAGTCTGTTAACCCTGAAATGAGGGAAACTCTGAGTTTTCCGTTTCAAAAAGGGAGGTAACTCAAACCAGAGAAAGAGGGGTAACTCTAGCCTGTTTCAGAGAGAGAGGTAACTTAAGCTCTCGGTCAGTTACCATAGTAACACACTCTATGAACCTAACCTGGTCGGGACCAGTTTTTTCTCAATGAACCTCGAGTTTCTCTCTGTCTCCGCCCTCTTTCAGAGCCACACACTCCATTTGATTTCCTCATTCATTCAGTCAGCAGGCGAGTTTTGGCGTAGCCTAGTTCTGCCGTCTGTCATTTAAAAAAAAAAATCAGAGTCAGTATATTAGAAGTCCATGTAGGCACAGTAGGTGCCGACTTTTTTCACTAACATGGCATGTCCTTTAGATAACGATCCCGTGGATGAAGGTGCAGCATTACTGCGCAGAGAATTAAATATTCGTCAGGAGATGGTTATCAGACCGCGGATAGATGTTTTAGCATTTCCACACAATTATCTTTTTGAGCGGTACCATTTCACGTCACAGTCCATCATCTACATACACAACCTAATCCGTCCTTACATCTGCAACATTACCAATCATAGTCATGCTCTCACATCCCAGCAGATATTGTGTGTTGCGCTGTGTTTCTTTGCAAATGGAAGTTTTTTGTACAATGTCGGAGAC